TGCTCCTCCTGAGGACGACTGGAATGCTTGGACTTCTACCTCCAAGAAGAAGGATAAGAAGGCCAAGAAAAATGCCCTTTTCGAAGAGCCCCTCGTGGAGGAGGTAGTTGTCGAGGAACCAGCGCCAGAGCCGCCGGCTGAGCCCGAACCTAAGCCTGTCGAAGAAAAGAAAGAAGAGGAGGATGACTGGGGTGCCTGGGGCTTGTCTAAGAAGGACAAGAAAAAGAAGAAGGGCAAGGCTGCCGAACCCGAACCAGAGCCTGAGCCTGAGCCAGCGCCAGCGCCGGCATCTGAACCTGAACCTGAGCAAGAACCAGTGTCTGAGCCTGAACCTGAGCCAGTACTGGAACCCGAACCCGAGTCTGAGCCCGCGCCTCCAGCCATACCGGATAATCCTCTCTACAATAATTGGGAGAATTTGAATTCCAAGGATCGGAAGAAAAGAGAGAAGCAGTTGGTCAAGAAAGGACTTCCCATTCCTGGCAAAGATTTCGAATGGCCTCCTCAGCCCGCTGAGCCTGAGCCCGAGCCGGAACCAGAGCCCGAGCCAGTGCAAGAACCCGAACCTGAGCCGGTACCTGAGCCTGTAGAGCCAGAGCCTGAACCTGAGGCCGAGCCAGTTCCTGAGCCAGTTCCTGAGCCAGTTCCTGAGCCAGTTCCCGAGCCAGAACCAGTCCCCGAGCCCGTTGTTGAGCCTGAACCCGAGCCTGAGCCTGAACCAGAACCTCCAGCTATCCCAGACAACCCTCTATACGACAACTGGGAAAGTCTGAACTCCAAGGAACGGAAAAAGAGAGAGAAACAGTTAGTCAAGAAAGGGCTTCCAATTCCTGGCAAGGATTTCGAATGGCCACCACCTCCAGCTGCTAAGCATGAGGAGCCTGTCCCAGAGCCAGAAACGGTTCCTGAGCCTGCCCCTGAGCCTGCTCATGAGCCCGAGCCAGAACCGGAACCGGAACCCGAACCTGTTGTGGAACCCGAGCCCGAGCCGCTACCCGAACCAGTACCAGAGATCATCGCTGAACCTGCTCCTGCACCCATACAGGCCGAACCTGTCTATGAGGAAGCGAGCTGGGGTATCTGGAGTACTGGGAAAGACAAGAAAAAGAAGAAAGGTAGCAAGGTTGCAGTGGAACCACCTCCCCCCGCACCGACTCCACCTTCTCTGGGATTCACACATGAACCAGAAGGGTATGTGCCTACAGAGCACGTGCCCGAGGCGCCTCTCTGGGACGAGTATGATGCCAAGCCTCCAAAGAGTATTAGCAAGGGGTTTGGGGTTGAGGAGACACCGAAGGCTTCGATGGGATTTTGGGCCACTCTTGGAGCAGCAACGATGGGTAAACCGAAGGCGACGAAAAAGAAGTCAGCCGAGAAAGACAAACCCATAGAAATTGTACAGGAGCCGGAGCTGGAGCCTGAACCGGAGAGCAAGCCTGCTGACGACGACTTACTAATCGACGTTGGCGATGCACCCCAGATGCCAGAAGCGCCCGAAGCGCCCGAAGCGCCAATGCCACCAGTTGTCGAGGAACAAGCCGCCCCGCCAACAAAGACTCCTGTTGTCACCTCCAAGACCAAGTCATCAGCCAAGCTGTCCGTCGCTGAGCGCATCAAGTCTCTTGAGCAAGCGAGGAAGGATAAATTAAAGGAGAAAGCGGGGAAGTCTAAGGCGAAGGAAGTCGTGCTGCCTCCACCAGAGGAAGTTGTTGAGCTTCCCCAGGAAGAGCCCATTGTTGATATTGAGCCTGAGCCATATCGACCGAGAAAGTCTTCGCGTGATTTGGTCCCTGGAAGTTTCCCTGACGCGTTTGACGACGAGTACGACGATATTCCCCCACCTCCTGTTCCGGAACCCCCCGTTCAGGAGCCTGAGCCTGAGCCTGAGCCTGAACCTGCCCCAGAGCCCATTCCTGAACCTGTGCAGCTGGAACCGGAACCAGTACCAGAACCAGTGGTATTGTCGAAGAAGGCCAAGAAGAAAGAGAAGAAAAAGGCAAAGGTGATCGAACTAGAGCCTGAGCCTGTTCCTGTTCCTGAGCCTATTTCGGAGCCAGTCGCAGAGCCTGAACCTGAACCTGAACCCGCCCCAGCCCCAGTACTGGAGCCAGAGCCCGTAATAGAGCCCGAGCCCGAGCCGCCTGTTCCGGTGCCCGTTTTAAAGATCGAGAAGAAGAAAAAGAAGAAGGCCATCAAGCCGGAGCCGGAGCCTGTCCTTGCTCCAGTCGTGGAAGACGTCCCTGCCCCTGTTCTAGAAGAGCCCGAACCAGAGGCTGAGATCCAACAAGAATGCGAAATTATACCGGAACTCGATGAGGCGCCTGCTCCAGAAGTTGAGAAACCAAGGAAGAAGAGCAAGAAGGTATCCAGCCTAGAACAGGCTGCACTTCCAGCGGATCCTCCACCGGTTGATGTAGGTCACGGTGGACCTCCAACGCCCCCTCCGGAGCCTATCGAAAGCCAACCTGACAAGATGCCCAGGAAGGAGCGCACCCGTGTGGAGCGCACCCCTGGTGTTGCTTCGTGGGGATTCTGGGCTGGCGCCCCTTCTAAGAAAACCCCCCAGAAAGAGTCTAGACATCGGGGAGAGCATTCACCGCCACTGATGGTGCGAACGAGGTCGACTAGACACCCTAAATCCAGGGAAGGTGAGAATGAGGTCGAAAAGTCATCTACTTCTGACCGGGACCGACGCAGAGAAGCCCGACATAGCCGAGGTATGACATTCTCCCACTTTATCCTGGGGATGCCCCCTCCGTCTCGGAAGAAGTCCACGAAGAAGTCTGGAGCCCAAGCTTCAAGGCCGATATCAAGACGCCCCTCCGTAGAGATGAACGATGATGTGAACGATACTAAATTACCCACGCCGCCACCAGACAACCACCGAGACATGCCGGATAAAGCTGCCAGAATGATGGGTACAAACGGTTCTTCAAGACGAGAGAGACCTCATACATCTCGCAGGCGATCAGGTATTTATGTCTTTCAATGGCTTATCGCTGCTACTTTACTAATCATAACCCTGTAGCTGCGCCTGATCCGTATGCTATTGACGAGGATGATATCGTCATGGTGGACAGAGATGATCTCGATGCTTCTGCACCCAGAGAGGGTGGTTCAAGAGGATCACGGCATTCCGACAGGCGGTCCCGACACAAGGTAAGACGCGTGAAAACAGTGAGATGTGGACATGATTAACTGATTCTGTCCTACACAGTCGAGGTCCCGACATGACGAGTTGGATGACAGGGCCATGCTTGACGAGCTGCAGCAAGAGGGGCCAGAAGTATTATCTGGGCCGGATGATATTGCATTTGTGGAGCCTCCACGGGAACGACGGCTCAGGCGGTCAAACACGGCTCCGAGAAAGCCAGAGCCCGGTCCGGGCGGTCTCAAGGGGCTGATCGGATCTTTACGGAGATCGGCTCGCCCTGAGATGCCAGAGCGTCACAAGTCTCGCTCTTACGGGGATGAAGATGCTAGGTATATGACCGAACCAGAGCGCGGCGAGTCTCGTCGCATGAGACACGAGAGCAGACGAAGACGACATGATATGCCGGATGTGGACGGTGAGGGCTTCCTCACAGATGCTCCGCCGGCAGAAGCATTCCCTGAAACGGACACAGAAGAGGCGGAAGCAAGGAGGGCGGCGCGTAGAGTCCGGCGGGCTGCGCGACAAGCTGCGTCCGATCAGCTTCGCGAGAGTGATTGGCGGGAGGCCGAGGAGAGGCGCGCGCGGCGCAGAGAAAGAGAAATGGCACGGGAACGCGAGATGCAGGAGCGTCAGTTGCGTGCGGAGGAGGAAAGGGAGGCCGAACGACGACGGGAGGAACGAAGGGCTCGCCGGGCTGCCCGTGAAGAGCGGGAGCAGCGTGCCCGAGAAGAGGAAGAGGCTCGTGAGGCCGCCGAAGCTAGGGCTGCGCAGCGCCGCGAGCGCAGGAGGCAGCGAGAGGCAGAAATGTATGACCCCAACCAGGAGTCTGGCAGGTCCAAGCGCCGTTCAATGCACGTCGACGATCGAGCTGCGCGAGACTTCTATCTCGGTGGCACGATGGATGCCAATCGAGCTGCCCCTCCCCCACCTCACCACTATCACCACCCGGAACGATCTGCCGACGGTGAACGGTCCAGACGTCGGAAGTCCAGAGCGCCTCCTCTCAATGCAGAGAGATTCAGGCCAATGATGTCCGGAGGCCGCAAGGATAAGACTTCGTCCTGGATCGACTCACAGGCGGACGATCCGCCGGAACCCCCACCGGTGATGACCACGGTGCTAGATATGCCCGGGGGTCTCGAAGGGGCCGCAAACGGCGGCTCGATCTCGTCGGACGAAGAGGCGCGCCGTGAACTGCGCCGCCGGGCTCGTCGGCGAGCCAGATACCCCGGGCTGACGGATCAGGAGATCGACGAGCTCCGCGCCAGGAAGCGCGAGGTGCGACGCTCCGAGCGGAGTTCCGGGAGTGGAGACTACGAGCGTGCGCGGGGGATGCGGTCGCCGTATGAAGGGCGCTATGAAGACCGCTACGCGGCGCCCCCGGTCAGCAATGGGAGAATGCCCAATTGGTTTCGCAAGTTGACCAATCTGGGATGATGATCACGGTGACGCATGCAGCTCTAACAGGCTTGTCTCACGATTACAGTTGGTGGTGCCCTTTTATGAATTCAATGATGAAACGACAATGCAATGAGGCTGAACCTGGAAGATATCCCGGATGTTTGATGAATGATTATGTGTCCTTGGGTGTGGCTTTATATCCGAAGTGGAAAAACGATTTATATGATGCGAGCTTGGATTATTGATGATGTACGACTACCATGAGAATGACTGATACTACTTTTTGCTTGCCCATCAATGGCATACCAACGACACCTTTCCCACCTATGATTGCAAATGGTAGTAGCTGGAGTATTCATTACATTAGACTTTATGTATCCCTGTACCACTGCATCCCCAAGTTCCTACACAATGTAGCTACAGACAGCATCTAGCCCTAGAAAGTCTACAACAGCGCCCCTTCCTCATCTCTTCTTATCTTCTGCTCCCTCTCCATCCGCCGATTCCCTAAATACACCTTGCCCCCCTCATACATACTCAAATAGATCCCAAACGAGATCGCCGTCCAGAACGCGCGCAACGCCCCGCCCCGAAACAACCCTTGCACCCCTTCCTTCCCATAAACCTCCTTCCCCACCGCCCACGCCCCGCTCCTCTTCCTTTTGACGGACTCCTCCTCCGCCGTCTCCGTCGCCGCCAACATCATCCGCGTCTTGACCACATCGATAGGCGTCGTCACCACCGAGGAAATCGTCCCCGCCACACTCCCGGCGATGCCCGTCACATACACCCGTTCGGCGATCGAGTTCTGGTTTCGATCGGGGGATGTCGTCCCTGATCCCCCCGCATCCCCACCACGGCCGGCGGCGGTCTTGGCCTTGGTGTTGGTATCCCGATACCCCACCACCTTCCCCTTGACAAACTCGAAGATCGGGAACTGGATCCCCGTGAACGGCAGGTTGCGGCCGAGGAGCGCCGTGTACCCGCTCCAGAGTTTCCAGGGCCGGTGCCGGAAGCGGTGGAGGATGGTCAGGGTGATGTTTTTTGGGTGGCTGGGGTTTGTGGTACTGTTGGTTGGGGCACTGCTGTGGACGATCTGGGCATTCTGCTTGAGCACCTCGGCGGGCGTGAGGATGAAGCAGGAGACTGCTTCGGCGGTGCAGGAGGCCATGGAGTGGAGGAGGGGGGTTGGGAGGAGCGGGGTGGGCTTTTGTGGATGGTTGGTGGTGCTGGTGGTGCTGGTGGAGAGGAGGCGCGTGAGGGCTTGTTTGCTTGCTTCGTAGGTGGTGAAGAATGCTCCTGCTTTTGATTTTATCTCTGTGAGTCTGGGGAGGTGGTGCGAGAGCAGAGGGTACGGTTGCGGGAGTATAGGGAGGAATAGGGACAGCAACAGCAACAGCAACGGCAATGGCAACAGGAACAGGAACAGGAACAGGAACAGGAACAGGAACAGGAACAGGAACAGGAACAGGCTGGGGCAGGCTGGGGCAGCTCACAGGCTGGGATCGTGGCGAGGACGACGCTGCCCACGCCCTGGTACAGGTCCTTGAACAGCACGCCGCGCTTGATCTGGCCGGTCGTCGCGTCCTTGTAGACGGTGGCATAGTTCGGGGATTGCAGGCGCGTCTTCAGGGTGTCGAAGGGGTAGACCATGAGATCGGTGATGACGACGGCGAAGGCGCCGGACTGGGGTTCTTCATGGTTAGTAGTTGTAGGCTATGTATAGGAAGTTCATGGGATGATGGTGGTGGTGGTGTGGAGGTTGGGTTAGAATGAATGTGGTTTGGGATGGAGACATAGACATGAAGACATACGAGCCAGATGTCGGAGTTAGTGTTGGGCATTGTCTTTGCGTGACTCTATCATATCCTGTACCGTAAGAAACATCTATAGCATCAAAAAGCATCAATGGAATCAAGCAATCGTCATTTAACTTATCGATCCTTATCTAATCGTTATCGGCAGCAAAGGTATCAAACGATGAGGTCATCAATGCCACATCACGTGGACGCATAGTACCCTAACATGGCCATTAGGGCAGCGCCATTCCCAAAGCAGCCAACCTGGGGAACCACGCATGCAAGGCGAAATCGCAGGAAGGAACGGGGAGGCGCCCATGAACAACAAACAAAAAAACCTATATAGATTGAAAGCGAACTCTCCCCCAAAAGTCATATCCCGTAACTCTATTCGTCACTGGAATTAAGAAACAACCAGGAGACATATTAACAGTCAGATACAGAATTTTCCCTCCCTACGCCGTAAGGTCATGCATGCGGTTTCCAGAATCCCCACAGTGTGAGACAAATCATATCAGTTTGGCCCTTCTTCTTCTTCTTCGTCTTCTTCGCGCTTCCTCTAGAAGACCTCCACTCTATTTGGCGGTCTCTCCCGGCAGAAGGTTGCCCTTGACAGCGAACATCTTGCCCGTCGTGGAGGCGACGAAGCTGTCCACCTGGCGGGCGTACTGCTCGACCTGGCGGCTGTTCAGCATGCTGTCCAGACGGCTGGGCTCCTGAGGGAGCTTGAACAGCCGCTGCCACTCGTCCTCGGGGAGGAGGGGCTGCTTGAGAGTGGCACGGTTGGCGTTCTCGGTCTTGCGCTTGTTTTGCCAGGCGGTGATCTTGGCCTGCTCACGGGCAAGCGAGCGCTGGTAGTACTGGAAGTTGTTGGTCTCGGTGTGGTGGACCTCGATGCTGTCGAGCAGAAGGTCGCAGTTCTTCTCCAAGAAAGGGTCGATGCTGAGGGAGAGGTTGTCGAAGTTGGGGGCCAGCACGGAGGACTTGGCGAACGGTCCAGACTCCAGAGCAGACAAAGAGGCGGGAAGATCCGTGGGGGCGGACTGGATGGGGGACTGAAGCTGGTGGACGAAAGAGGTGATCAGGTGGGAGTTGTGGATCTCGACGGGAAGCTCGACGAAGATGTCCTGGTATCTAAGGTTGGACTTTTGGAGCCTGGTAGATGTTAGCGACGCAGACACCCAACAGAAGTCAGAGCTAGAACTTACTCCTCGGAGGTGAACTTGTTCTCCTTGAAAGCAGTCATGAACTTGGGAGACAGGCGGAAGGCACGCAGGCTCAGGCTTCCCTGGGCGCTACGGCTGACATCGTGCACCAAGGCGACTGTACGCTCGTTCATCTCCTTCTGGTAAAAGAACTGGTTCTCGATCACGTTCATGTTGACGAAGTTACCCATGTTGGCGCTGGTGTACCATCCGACGTTCTGAGCGTCCACGTTGACCTCACGAAGCATACGAACCATCTCGGCCTGGTAGACGGCGTTGGCCTTCGCACGGGGGGCAGCGGCAGCCGGGTTGGGGGCGGCGTTGTCGAAGTGCGACTCGGCGGGCATCTCGACGACGGGGAAAGGGAACGAGTTGGTGATCTCCAGGGTGCCGTTGACATCCATACCAACGATCGAACCGGTCGCAGTCGTGGGGAAAGATTGCGAGCCATGCTTGATGATTTTCATCACCACCTAATGGCGAAAACCGTCAGTATCATGACCGACCGGGCTATCTAAAGCGGGGGGGAGGGTGGTGAGGAAGATTTTCAGGGTGGTGGTGCATACCAAGGCCTCGACCTTGACGGCCGTGAGAGGAACTTCTTTCCTGTGAGGTTAAACATTAGCTTGATTGATCCAGACTCGAAAAGTCCCAAAAAGGACTTACTCCGCCATTTTGAATGCAGCAGCCCAGAGTATACGTGTATAGACGGCGACGATGGGTTGAACGGCGGCGATGGTTTGTGTGGATGGAATTCAGCATTTGCTCCCACCGCCTAACCCCCTATCGGGATTAGCGTGCCAAGCCCCATAGGAGCAGTCAGCGCCGCTGCCCAAACGGGCAATATCTTTACAACCCCTCGGTAAACATGAGTCTCTGTCTCTTCACTCAATCTCACATTGTCAAGGTCTTAATGGCGGGCCTAGTATCCATTGATTCAATAGTATAAGGCATCAACGAGAGAATGTGAAAGACCTCTTGGTGTTGGGTCCACGATAGGCGCGGCCATTGCTCCACAGCCCAACCGGACGCCACGCTAACCAGAAACTCAACAGCAGCGCTTCCATCATCATGACTCTTTTGAACTGATAACCCCCCTCAACTTAGAAATCCTCTTTTCTTACTCATACTACAGGTCCCTCCCAATTACCTTCCTTTCAATGTCTATCCCCCCTACAATCCCAGTCATTGATCAAATGATCCCTGAAACCTTTTCCTACGGGACCAACCATGTCCTCCAAACCGTAACAGTGACCACCTTATCGGCTCTCCCCGACAAAGGCTACTGGGTGATGTATATTCCCCCCCTTCACCCCTCCCCCTTAATACACCCCCCACCTACCTCCATAAACACACACCTTCCCTCCACCCTACACACCACAAGAAACACAAACCAAACACACACACACACTGACATTAGCATGAACGGAACAGCTGCATCCACGGCGGCGCCTGGCGCGACCCCACGCAGACGGCCTTGAACTACCTGACGCCAGCGGTCTCCATCCTGGCGGCGTCGGAGCCGTACGCCTCGACCACGCACGCCCACCTGGCCGGCTTCGCCTCCATCAACTACCGCCTGAGCCCGCACCCGGACCACCCGCAGGACCGCACCACCACCCCGCCCACCGAGTACCGCGCCGCGCGCCACCCGGACCACATCGCCGACGTGCAGGCCGCGCTGGCCTTCCTGCAGCGCAGGTACGGGTTCGGGGACCGCTACATCCTCGTCGGGCACAGCTGCGGCGCCACGCTGGCGTTCCAGTCGGTCATGGGCGCGTTCCGCAATAACCAGACCACGCCCAATAGTCGTGGGCTGGTTGATGGGGGTGGGGATGGGGATCATGATGTTAGCGGCAACAACGGTGCGGTTGGAGGGAGCGGTGGCATCGGAGTAGGCGGCGGGTCGGTGGCGATGGGCCCCCAGGCGATTCTGGGGACGGCGGGCATCTATGATCTGCGGGGGTTGCGGGATGACCATGTGCGGATCGCGGCGTACCAGCAGTTCATCGAGGGGGCGTTTGGCGGCGAGGAGGCGCTGTGGGATGCCGTTTCACCGGCGGCGGTGAACGATGAGCAGAACGGTGTGGTGGGCGGGTGGACGGCGGGCCGGTTGGCGGTGCTGGCGCACTCGCCGGAGGATGAGCTTGTCAATGCGCACCAGCACGAGGTGATGATGGAGGCTTTGGGGCCTTGGGTTGAGGCGGCGTCTTCGTCGTTTCAAGGCAGCAGCAGCAGCAGGAAGAGGAAGGTCGAACTGCTCCCCATCAAGGGGGCGCATGACGATTGCTGGGAGAAGGGTATCGAGCTGGCGCGGGCCATTGCCTTCACGCTGGACAAGCTGCTGGAGTTGCAGGAGTGAGAGAGATTTTGAGAATGGTTTTTTGTACTGTATATACGGAGCTTCATACACGACTTATAGACTCACGTGGAAATGCATTTACGGCCTGTCTTTTTGGTTAATTGACGTTCACTACGGACCATACATTTACACAGCATGCATGAATGAACCCCGTTGGAGAACAATGCAGTCCTTCATATAGTCTTCGCCAAGAAGCAGAGGGATCAGAAAATGCCAGATGAGAACCAAGCCAGATCGAAATGTATATCTGGAAAGCCTGTCGGCCGGGAAAGAGAAACTAGTTCACATCAGAAGAAGATAAGAAACAGACCCGCCATCTCCGGAAGACTTCCAACGCCACCAGTGTGATTTCATAATCATAAATGCAAAGCAGGAGATATAATTGGAGAAGAAAACCACCCCCTCCGTCACTCCTGCGATTTTCAAAAAAGACATTAAAGCAAGGGACGATATAAGAGGGGGAGGGGATGGGGAAGAAAAAAGGGACCAACCCTTGAGATGCATGTGGGTGGTTGCGAATCAGGATGTAATGCAATTGAAATATATGATAATGGAAGAAAGTAACTCCATTCTCAAGGGCGGGAAACTGTGCAAAACGGACGGGATGAAGGGAGGGGGGGGAAGAAGAGGAACTGCTATGTTTTAATTGCCGAGATCCATACGGCCCGAAGCAGCGTCACCGATAACCTTCTCCTCTTCCTTGGTGTCCGAGATCGCCTCATCATCGTCGTCTTCCAGATCATCTTCGCTGTCGTCTTCTATGTATTTGACCTCTACTCCAACATCGCGAAGAGTCGTCTTCATGTCTTCACGGTACTGATCCTGCCAGCGAGCCAAGGCAGCGCTGGCGTGCACCTTGAATCCGAACACGCGGGGCTCATAGCGACGAGTGCTCTTCTCCGGCATCAGCGCAGGATACACCTGGAAAAGCATGCTGTGGAAAGAGGTGCCGAAGTAGGCTCCGTCGATGGAGGCATGGCGAGACGACTTCGGGTGATAGATGTCCTCGCACTTGGAGCAGTAAAGACGGACCGTGCTGATATTGGGAGTGTCGTGCTGGCCCATCGGCAAGAGGGGGTGGCCCTCGCACATGACTCGGGGACATTTGCCGAAATCGCCGCGCTTAAGTTTATCGACCTAATTTCCAGTGATTAGAGACGGCGGTGGCTTCGCAACTTCAGGTTCTTACCATCTTGGCAAGCCCGCGAGTGGTGACAATGTATCTCGCATGGACCAAGCCGTAAAGGTGGCGTGCTGACTTCTCGATCTGCTCGCGGAGGTCGTCGTCTGCGTCGAGATCGAAGACATCCGTCACCAGATCCAAGGCGTACTGGTAGTATGCGACTTCGGTGTTTAGGCCGGTCAAATTAAAGCGATCCGTGAGGTAATCCTCGTCGATTTCGCAAAAATATTCATTGCCACGAGAGGAGATAAACTTTCCAGAAGCAGTCAGTCACGGATTTTCAACAGTCAAGATGATATTGGCGCAGAGCGGGTTCAGGCTATAAGAAACAAATGGACGGAGTTCGATGCAGGAGCAGAGGCAATAGGACAAAATCTCGGGTTGACATCGACATATCCGATGTATCCTAAGGCCTGGCCGGGGACAGCGAAGACGGAATTGACTGAGAGAAGCGGCCCCTCAGCAACTTTCAAGAAGTTGCCGTCGCACCTTCATTCGTAATTCCGGGTCACGATGACGTCCCCAGGTGTAACTGTCAAGTCGCACTCATTCACTAGCACTCGAGCCGCCGTCCACATCGCTCACGTCAAGGGAAAGGAAGGGGGAGGCGTGGTGGAGGGGGCATCTTACCCAATCTCTCCAGTAGCTGGTGTAGTCGCTGTCAGTTTCACTGTTGAAATCCTCCATCGTGTCTGGGTGACGGCAAATCGAGAGGGGTGCGATCGGAAGATATTATTATTTCTTTGCTCAGACCCGTAGCAGTTGCTTGAGACCCGGTCGAACACCTCCAGCACAGGAGAGTCCCCAGAACAGTAGCGATTGTGTCTTTTCCTATCGAGTCATGTAATTTTCCGGAGTGTTTGAGTGTTTGAGGAGAGACGGCGGAGCGCGGGAAGTAGTAAAGTGAATGAATGAGCTTCCAGGTCAGGATAGTTGCAGTGTGTGAATCTCCATGTGGATGGACTGTTATCAGTGGATCGGATCGCCCTCCTTCCAGCTTAGCGCGGGGTTGGCGGTGGGCTTTTTGACAGACGCTGTCTGACCGCCTTGCTGCTCTTGTCCATCGCTCTACAACATCCATTCCTTACCAAGTGGCCCTTATGTCTTTACATGTATCAGACTATATTCATACTATGTTGAAGAACCGAGCATATTGGTAAACTGTCAGGTTATATATTTGCTTCAGTGATTGCCATCATATCAGCGACCAGTTTACAGAATGAAATTCCGATCTCCCACGCAATATTATATACATCAAGCTAAAAGTCAAATCATATTACAATGCCTCATGAATATTAGCCAAGTCAGAGCCATCACTCATTAGAAACTACTCAAAGTACGCCCACATGAGAGTTAGCACCAAAAAAAGGCCAGGGCTGTTGGGCACTCACCCTGAAACCAAGTTCCAGCCTTCGGGCCATGAGATAGGTCATGCTTCCTTGTTTACCCTCCAGAAACGGCTTGTCGGAGAATTGCGGGTTGTATTGGCTACAAATCAAAGCAGAGGCTTGGGCATTGACAAAAGCAGCACGGATATGCCTGTACCAACGGACGGAGTCCCTTCAAAAGGGTCATCGCCGCTGGCTCAGACTATTGATTAAGGTAGTTCAAGTCAGCCTCGCGACCCAAATACCCTGGGTTACCGAATCATACGGAGCATTCCGACAATACCTGGCAAGTGAAGTGCATCGAAGTAGACGATATTTGTATACATTCAAGAGTTGATTAAATCCGAAATAACAATAGTGGTATATATGTTAGATATGAGCGCATCAGGTAGATGGCTGGTAAATCCGAATGGCCCGAGCATACTCGTGATTCACCTAAGTACTTGTTATAGAGAACGCAAGGAAAACAACACGCAAGGAAACGAGAAATGACTGTGTAAAGCTGTCCAATTTGGTCGGGGCTTCAGTATCGCGCAGCCGTGTCGCATTCGGCAATGAACTTGCGGATTCCGTCCGAGCCCTCGTATTCGGAGGCAGTACCAGGAATTCCACTGCTCAGAGCCTCGGGAAAGTAGGCATGGTCTCCGAGCTCGCTGACGTTAATGCTGGAATACCCCGACAAGGGCGACGCCCAGGGATTTTTGGCAAACATAATCACATCCTCAAAGCTAATCTGGTTGGAAGGCTGTCTGTACACACTAGAAGACGCGTCACTGATCTGCTCGGGAGACATCATTGCATGCCAGTCGACTTCCTCAGGAGCCTGAGACTTCACAGACTGAGGTTTGTAGAAGTATTCATCGATCTGCGGAGAGGCCGGGACGCTAGGAGCAAATGGGAACAGAAGAGCAAGATCAGCACCCGTTCGAGTGTCAAAATCCTCATCCTGCATGATTTTGCCTCGTTGAATACCTGCTTCATCACAAAGCCTCTCAACAGTTTCAGCATCGCAACCCGGAAACCGTACTCTAATCGTAGACCGGTCGTGGAGTGTGACGGGCATGTCGCCCAGGCTTTTCAAACGCTTGAGATCGTTAAGAACGACAGCCAGATCCTTAAGGGTCCGGGCAAAATCGGCAGACAGCAGGTCCAGGAGGCCTTCCGAGTTCAGCGTCTGATCAACACAAGTGCTGGTGGCAGCCAGGTTCTTCTGCAGGCCGAAGGCAGTGATGGTTGGGGAGATCTGGAAGTCGATGAAAGACCCGGGAGCCGTGCGAGGAACGCCGGTCATTTTGCGCTCAGCTTCATCCTGAAGCTTGCTGACGGCCTTGTAGCGCTTGTTCCCAGTGATTGGATCGACCCCATCAAATCGAGCCTTCTGTCCTGAGAGGAAGAACGCACGCACACCCATCGAAACATTGTTGATGACCTGGGCCGGTGCAGCCGGGCCATGTGAGAAGTATCGTGCACCGCCAATGCGGCCGGCGCCAATGGTATAACCTCCGGCCGTGCGGCCCAACGTACCACCGGTCAAGTTCGGGCGGAGAGCAGACGCGAAAGGAGCACGGGTGGTCAACCGGCTAATATTGGAGGCAACAGAAGATACCTTCGTTGCCGCAGTACGGTCTGCTTGGAGACCACTGCGGAGATAAGGGACGAAGGATCCCGCCGCACGCGTCGAGAATTGGCGACTACGGGCTTGACGGATAGCAGCCGCTCGATTAATAGGTTGTCTGTGAGCAACCCTAATGTATTCTGGCTGAAGACGAAGCGAGCCCTGTGGGATTTGCTCGGGAAATTTTGACCTTAAGGTCTTACAAGCCTTCTCGTAGGCAGACCTAATCGGAGGAGCATTAGCAAGTTATGCTGGTATCAAGAACTATGTGGCAAATGACTCACCTGGCTGCTCTCCAGACCTTGGGGAGCAGCAGGTGCCCGTTAGAAGGCGGCATCCTGACTGCAACAATGAATAAACTTATGAACGAGTAGACGATGGACTAACCATCTCCTGATGATTGAAGGAAGAAAGAAGATAAGAGGATGACGGGTCCGGGGGATGGGTGATGTGACGGCAAGGGGACGGCGGATCCATGATGCCGAGTGGCGGTGCTGCATGTGATCCGGAACCACGTTCCCCGAAGGGAAGTGGTTCGATGATGATGTGGCAACCCAACATCCTCCTGCTCAGTACCACTGCTTGATCTAATCGTGCGATCCCCATTGTTCGGACTTTAGTAATTTGACTTATCTTCAAACAGTTCGGAGGGACAGCGAAGTCTTATCCCCATCGTATTGTAGGGAAGCGCACCCGAATGACATCGGCCCCGCCTCTACCCCGCAAATGTCTTCACGCATCGGCCTCACAATGTAAACACCGCCTTTAACATCGAGCAATGCTGTGCGCTCAGATAACACTAAGAGGGACCATTAAGCTAAATTTCAGCAGAAATGTTATAAAAAGACCCATTCTTTCTATTACCGGCAAGCTATCATGCTTCTATGGCTTCAAGCATTTAACCGAACTTATGTACATCGAATTTAGATCTTAGAACTTCTTTCGCCTCGCGTTATATCGGTCAGTCATTCGTCATCCCCGAAGAACACCTTGATAGGGAGCCAGCTGTCTCCGCAGACCTTGAAGCGATCCTTCAAGTTGTCAAGCTGGTTGACCTCCTCCTCAGTCAGGTCCCAGCCGTCGAGCTCGAAGTTGGCGTCGATGCGCTCCTTGCTAACGGATTTGGGAATGACACTCCAGCCCTTGTTCAAGCCCCACACCAGCAGGACCTGCTGGGGGGTCTTGCCCTTCTTCTCGGCAAGGTCCAACAGGGTCTGATCCTTGTAGAGAGGAGAGTTGGTCGAGCCGAGGCAAGAGTAACCGGTGGAGTGGATGCCCTTCGAGGTGTTGTAGGCAACCAACTTGGGGGAAGGGTTGTTGGGGTGCAGCTCAATCTGGTTGACAGCGGGGACGATCTTGGTGCTGGGGTCGTTCAGAAGCTTCTCCAGGTTCTTGATGCCGAAGTTGGAGACACCGATGTTACGGACCTTGCCGGTGGCGGGCAGCTTCTGCATCTCTTGCCTAAGATCCCGCACTAGTCAGTGTCCAATCGCTAATGCCGGGTCTATGAGGGTGATTGCTCCGTACCAGGTCTTGATGAAGTCCCAGTCGGGAAGATGCTTCGAGGTGTCGTTGGGGTCGGTGGCGCAAGGCCAGTGAACAAGGTAAAGGTCGACGTAGTCCACGCCAAGGCTCTTGAGAGAAGAGTCAATGCCCTCGGCGACGCGGTGGTGCCAGGTGTTGTTGAGCTTGGTCGTGATCCAGATCTCCTCGCGAGGGACACCAGAGTCCTTGATACCCTGACCGACCTCAGCCTCGTTGCCGTAGGCGAGGGCACTATCACCAAAAATCATTAGTATGAAGGTCAAACACGGTTCCTAGATCAGTCACAATACTCCACTTACGTGTCGATATGGCGGTAACCCTTTAGGAGGGCATTCTTGACGGCCTCTCTGACCTGGTTAGGACCGCTCTGCCATGTGCCCAACCCAACAGCGGGGATCTTATCACCCGTGTTAAGGGTGTAAGTTTTCCTATGAGGCCGAAGTGTAAGTCAACGTCAATGGGACTTCCGTGGGGGAGGGGACAGCTGGCTTACTTGGTGTGCTCGATGTTCGACATTGTTACTTTTTTGGATGGTAGATTCAGATGCTTAGAGGAGAGAGAACAATTGAAGGAAGGAAGAAAGAGAAATAGGAAAAAAAAGAAGCCGTCCCCACAGATGGAGTAGGCTGACTTTATAGGCCTAGGGAGGAGGGGAGGGGCTCAGTGCTGGTCGATAGACGATAATGATGAAGAGGCAGGTCCATCCAGCACGCTATGCGCGGAACGATGACGATAGTCAATCGGGGTCGCGGGGTCCGTTCAAGAATGGTGGGGTCAATTCATCGACGGGCTCCCAGGGCCTTGTCTCTGCCGGTCATTTCTAATTGCAATCTGAAACCGATAACTAAACCAAATGGTTATCTTGGTCTCCATTTGTTATCGCATGCAATTAGCCGCTCAGCATGATACTCGTACTTAGTACGTACTAGTCAGGCAGTCAGTTTACCGTGTCACATACTTCAACCGAAACAAGTTTACTTAGGTGCTTGATTTGTACTACTATGCGGAGTATAGCTTGCGAGTTCTGTGGTACACAGTAAACCGATGTTGGGGACATAGCCATTTAACCGAGTTCTAGAATCCCAAACTTGGACCTTTCAAAAGAACTAGCCGAGCGTATGTGGAATTGACTCGGCACCATCCACACAGTGGAAGCAGATGCAGAACTTGGTCTCGTGTAAAATAAACAATTAATAATTATAATAATTATTTCCGGCCCAACCACCGAGAATCGGTTCGGCATCGATGCTGCAGCAATGCACCTGCGGGATTTTGCCTAAACTCGTTTGCTCCGCTTAAGTGGAGCTCCGCGTGTGAAAGGTCCAATCAACATTGAATCTCCAGCCCACACCGCTTGATTCTGCCAGTCCACTGTGGCTCCCTCTCCAGAACGCGGTTGAAGCCGGAGAATATCACAATCCAACGGTGACTCGTTGACGCAAGCAAAGTGATTTGCCGATTGACTTGACATCGTTTGAAAGTCACATCTAGCAAGGCGCTCAGTTATTACGGCCAGAAATAGGAAGTTAGCATATGGTCACGCCACACTGTTTCCCTTGAACGTTGAAAACATTTTCCATCCCCGCGGAGAAGTCGAAACACCCTTGCCGCAAGGGTCGATACTCTAATTGCCTGACAACTCTTCCAAAATGTCGTCCGGATTCGTGTCCGCAGGGACAGACCAAGAGCCAGTCGAGCGCAATGATGAATGGCACCGTGTGCAGCAGGAGCTTGAGGAGGAGCGCAGGCGCAAAGCAGAGTTGGGAAAACAGGATGGAGGAAAGAGTCTGTTTGAAGTACTGCAGCAGAACAAGAGTGAGTTAGATCAATATCACGACACTCGCCTCAGCAAGGTCCACGTCGTGCTTTGAACTCCCTGGATTGACATGTTAGGATGATCGATCTTCGTCTGTGTAGTGGCCAAGCAAGAAGCCTTCGAAGAAAAAATCAAGCTGAAGAACCAATTCCGATCGCTGGACGAAGATGAGGTTGACTTCCTGGACTCGATACTGGAGTCGACGCGAGCGAAAGAGGCCGCCGTGAAAAAGGAGACTGCCGAAGGTCTAGAGTTGTTCCGTCGCCAGCGGGAAGAGGCGGAAAAGACTCTGCTCGAAGACACAGCTGCCGACGTGGTTCCGGCAGCGGAGGGCGAGGATTGGAAACTGCCTGCGCGGAAACGACGACGCGAGAAGAGCAAGGACCTTCTTGTCCCCGGGAAAAAACGCAAGTCATTGAGTGGCGACTCGGCTGGAAGCCCTAAAGGCGAGCAAGCACCCCCAACTACGTCGAAGGAGCCCCGGGTAGATGAATCACTGCCAAAGTCTACATCGGCTCACCAAATAACCGAAACCGGAACGCAAAAGCCCCTTCGTGTTGCGGAAAGTGCTGCCAACTCTGGGCAACCCGTGGAAAAGAGTACGAGCGCGAACTCGCCAGTCCAGAAGCCAGCTGCAAATTCATCGTCACTGTCTCTCGGCCTGGCAGGTTACAGTTCAGACTCGGAATGAACCCGATATTCTGTGGGTGACTATGAATGGCTATCTGGATAGCCTGTACAACTCTATACTTCCCTCTAATAGTTTCGTGATGCTAGGCATGCCTTGCATATACCCGCATAGCAAGTGATGTTTAATGGGAATCAAGAAACTCTGCTACAGTATGGCATCGTCAGACGCTTATGGTTTTAAGAATCAAAGGGCAGATGCCATTTCATGGTATACTATTCTGGAAATAAAAGACATACCTTGCACGATCGCCTGGTAGTCTTGTTAGCAAAGCTGCGAAGATTGTAAGGCTTTTGCCCAGATGAAGCGGGCTAAATCCATTATTGACTAGTGAGGCAGTGCTTATGCAATGGCAGGGGTGAAATCCGGAAGCATAGCTCACCATCCATGATCTTGTAGGATATTGTCGAATTCGTATTCTGGGATGTCGGTAGGGGGGGGGCTGGCCCATAGCTATGGGTCCTAGTTATTGCAGTACAGCTAATATCGTCGAGCTCGGATGGCGAGCTCGTTCATCAAAGATCTAGATGCTCAATCTCCAGATACCAGAAAATTCAATTAGCAGAACCATTTTCATTCTGCCCTCACCAGGAGTCATAAAATCAAACATGGTTGACAAAAGCATGAAACCTTGAGAGTAGATCATGTGATTTCCCCCAAGGTATCCAAGACTTTACGGAGTACACACGGCAAGAACTTGACATCTTGGTAAACACGCTGTTTGATCCATAGTCTTGGTGAGAATATCACGGGGTATTATTGAGTCACTAAATACTGCAACACGCTGACTATTACTTAGGAAGGTCAAAGGCTCCCTGTCTTACTAGGACTCTCGTTGTCCTCTCATATCTCCGCGCTGAGGTGCCAGACTTGCCGAAAGCAAAGACACAACACCCCGACTGACTGCGCCAGGAAAGAAAGACTACGCGTCAGTCTCGGCGTGCGTCGCAAAGGCACCTCTTTTCTCCTCCTGCTCTTCGACACGGCGCTCCAAGTCGTGGGAGACATAGTCCTCCTTGCGAGTGCCCACCACGATCCAGGGCGAGTTGGAGAAGAGGTAGTTCATCTCCTCCAGTGGAAGCTTCTTCGTCTCGGGGAGCAACAGCCAGAAGAAGATTGCATTCGTGAAGTTGCAGATGATGAAGAGGTAGTAGTACTTGTAGCGAACGCTCTCCATGGCGATGGGGGTGACCTGGCCGATCATGGTGTTGAAGGCGTAGGACACCATGCACGCCAGCGACACACCCTTCGACCGGGTCCGGGTGTCGAACACCTCGGCGGGGATAATCCACGACAGGGGACCGCAAGTGCAAGAGAAAGAGAAGTTGTACAGCCAGGTCATGATGATGAAGCCCCAGTGAGCGCCCGTGTTGTTGACCTCCGGCGGGAATTTGGCCAGCAGCGCACACGCCACGATGAATGTGACGCAGTTACCCAGGTTGCCACCGATCAAAGTCCACCGACGACCGAACCGATCGATGTACAGGATGCAAAGGAACTGGGCGATCAAGGCGATGATCGAGTTGATGGCCTGATACCGCAGGGTCTCGTCGCCCGAAATGCCGATCTGCTCATAGATAGTCACGGAGTAGTACCTGTCGAATGGGGACTGGTTAGTTCTATGCTCTGTTTCTCCGATATTGTGCAGTGCTAGATGGACTCACTGGATCGCAGATACACCTGTCATCTGGACAGACGCCTGGATAGCACAGCAGAGGAACAGACGACGGAAGGAAGAGCGGGACGTGAAGAGTTCTGCGTAGGACTTGGCTTCATTCTCATGCTCAAACTTGATGCTTTCCTGAATCTGCTGGTATTCCGCACGCACCCACGCGTCATCTTCGTTACCATGAGCGTGGAGTTGAGCCAGGGTCTTCAGACCCAGCTCATTTTTACCATGGTCAATGAGCCAACGAGGAGACTAACATTTGGTTAGTGGGCTGTGCATGATTGCCGACAGTTGACCAGAGGTGCAAGGCTCTTACCTCAGGGAAGAACATGATGAGAAGGCCCAGGCAGACTGCCGGTGCGATCTGCAGCCCCAGGGGCAGTTGCCATTGAGCATCGTTGGTATCGGAGAAGCCGATGTATGTGCCGTACGAAATCCAAGCAGCACAAAGGGAGCCAACACCGAGCATGAATTGTTGAAGAGCCGTGACTCGACCACGAATGTCGGGGTGACAGATCTCAGCTTGGTACAAGGGAATGATCATGGTAAGGAAACCGACTCTGCAGACGAGGACATGTCAGTAGATGCTCTACAGCCGCTCCACTCTTCGCTCCTATGCTTGCGGTGCGAACATACCCGAGACCAGCAAAGAATCTTCCGCTGTACAAGTAGGCAATAGTCTGAGCTCCTGTCTGAAGACCTCCGCCGAGGCAGAAAATGATACAACCGATGGTGATGGTCCATCGTCGACCCAGTTTATCACCAGTCGGACCTGCAAATGCTGCACCGCAGAAAGCACCTGCAGTGAACATGGAAACGACGAGACCTCTGGAAGACTGTTAGTGGCATGGGTCTAATTTTGGCCGTGGTAAAACTCACTGTTGAGTACTATCGGCTTCAAATTTGGAGATGAAAGATCCACTGGCGATGACCTCGGCAATCACACCCAGATCGTCTGCAACCATGCACATTAGCTCTGAACAAGCAAAGAAGCAGTGATATGATGTCTATACATACATCCATAAAGGAACGAGCCGAGAGAGGCGAATACACCGACCAGGAACTGGTGAGAGCGAGGACGTTAGCATTCCGGTCGCTTGCCCATACATTGGATCTTCCCAAGAACTTACCTGGTACCATGCCGGAGAGAGACGCATGTTGAAGGGTAGGAATCCGCAATGAACACAGTGGATCCGATGGACTTGATCATTCGCTAAGGAAGATCTTAGATAAAAAATGCGGAGATTCCAGCCCCAGGTTCAGGGTCCTGCGGGCTTTTATGAACATCTGGGGATCACAGCCACTCAACCCACGTGTAGGCCCAGAATCTGGGGCATTAGGGTTTTCCGAACTTGCCTCCTCCATCGGGACATGACCATGACATCGTGACTTTTCCCAGTTCACGCAAAGACCGGTGGAGGATTCATTACGATGCATCATCCGGCAGACACGACGCTTTGGGGATTCTACCGAGACAGGGTATTTTTTTTTACTTGCTGGCCCAAGTCCAGCCTACTTGAGATGCAAAACTCATAACATCTGCGGAGTCAATCGAATTAACATGCCATGCATGACCTATCGCCATGTGTGGTCTGGTGTAGCCAAGCAACGCTTGTAGAAGCGGGATGTCAGTACATCAACTTCCACTCGAGAGACGCATGCTGATTGACGGAAATTAGCCGTGGCGTTGCCTCGGCTTCATCCTCCAAGCCAACGGCGTCGAAACCTCTCGCTTGCATCCCCCAGTACAGCAATCTGACGGTACCATCATGCATCCTTGCTGGCCTGCCCTCTTCTGCGTTCGGTACAACTCCGGATCGACCCCGCAGGGGATTTGCCCGATTCATCGTGCCCGCTCCTCATGGCTTCAGCACATTAATATTAGTTGCCGGGCTCTCTCTGCCATGGTCAACAACAATACATTGAGTGTGCTTCGGAGAAAGGAAAGAGTCCTGCTTATATTCCCTTTTGTACAATTTCTCTTGTTCTCGTACCAATCGGATCTCGCGATTCTCAACCTTCTCTTTCCTGCCATTTTTCCTTTGCCGCCATGACCACCTTCACGAAGCTCAACGACCAGGATGCGCCTAGTATTTCCATCCATCCAACAAGGCGCATTTCCAAGATCAACCCCAACATCTATGCGGGCTTCACAGAGTAAGCTCCCGGATTGGTTGTAGCCCTAGCGAAATTTCGCGGCTAACACCTCCGACAAGGCATATGGGTCGATGCATCTACGGGGGCATCTACGACCCGGGAAACAAGCTGTCGGACGAGAATGGTTTCAGAACGGATGTGATCGAGGCCCTGAAGGACCTAAACATCCCTGTCGTCCGCTATCCCGGTGGCAACTTTATGGCAACCTACCACTGGATCGACGGTGTTGGCCCCAGAGAGAACCGGCCGTCCAGGTATGTTGGCACATCCTTGACTGCTGCACTTGTTTGCCTTCCTATCGTGCCTACTGTCTTTCAATTACCTTTCGATCATTTGACTTTGATTATTGTCTCTACTTTGGATTGCTTCGACTGCCACGTCCCTTTCGTACTGACAATGAGCTCGCCCTGCTTAGACCTGAATTGGCCTGGCTGGGAACAGAGACCAACCAATTTGGAACGGACGAGTTCATGAAGTGGTGTGAAGTACTCGGAACCGAGCCCTACCTCTGTCTGAACTTTGGAACTGGTAAGTGACCAGCTCCTCTCACTGTCGGAAAGCCTTACTAATCGCACTATAGGTACTCTTGATGAAGGTATATTTACCCTCATAACCATTAGTCTTCTGTTTAGGGCTCCTGTCTAACACATTCACGCAGCACTTGCTTGGGTTGAATACTGCAACGGCACCCGGGACACTTACTATGCCAACCTCCGCCGGAAGAATGGTCGCGAGGAGCCATACAACGTAAGTAAAATACTTTCATGTCTACGAATCTCTATATGATTCTAATTGATCCAGGTTAAATACTGGGCCCTTGGCAATGAAGTATGGGGACCATGGCAAGTTGAGCAAATGACTCAGGAAGCATATGCCCACAAAGCCTACCAATGGGCCAAAGGTAGCCAGCTCCTTGCATCTCAAACATAACCGCAAGATGATTCAAAGATACTGACAGGGAACGAAACCTGAAGCTCTCAAGCTCCTCGACCCCAGCCTTGTCCTCATCCTCTGTGGCCAAACCGGGTTTGCCTCGTGGGACCACTACACCTTGAAGCACTGCCTTCTCCCTGCTCACTCCGAGCTCTCCACCAGTGCCGTGCCCTTGATCGATATGCACAGTATCCACCTGTACACGACCTCGGACTCTCACCTTCCCAATGTCACCGCTCCGCTGGCCGGCGAGCGGGCCATCGAGATCACCTCCTCCCTGATCGACCTCGCCATGATCGAGAACAACGTGCCCCCGTCCCAGCCGCGGCCGACCATCTGCTTCGACGAGTGGAACGTCTGGGACCCGATCCGCGCGGAGGGCAGCAAGGGCGCCGAGGAGTCGTACACGCTGTCGGACGCGCTGGCGGTGGCCGTGTGGCTGAACGTGTTCGTGCGCAAGAGCAAGGACGTCGGCATGGCGTGCATCGCGCAGAGCGTCAACGTCATCTCGCCGCTGATGACCTCGCCGGACGGCATCACCAAGCAGACCACCTGGTGGCCGCTGTACCTCTTCTCCAAGTACATGCGCGGCTGGACCATCAGCACGCACCTGGCCAGCGCGACCTACGAGGGCGAGACCTCGCCCAAGTGGGTGCGCAGCGTCAAGGACACCCCCTGGCTGGACGTGAGCGCCGCCCTCGGCGAGGACGGCTACGTCAACGTCGCCGTCGTCAACATCAGCGAGGACAAGGACCTCGAGACCCGCATCGACGGCCCCACCGGCCAGGTCGCCGTCTTCACCGTCACCGGCGACAACCTCGCCGTCAGCAACATGAACGGCAAGCAGGAGGTCGGCGTCGCCGAGAGCACCTGGGAGGCCACGGGCTCCTACGTCTTCCCCAAGCACTCGTTCACTCTCCTGCGCTGGAAGGCCGAGTAAAAGGTCAACGAACTCGCATCCGAAACAAACACCTCCCTCACACAAACCCCAAGTCCACCTACGAAATTAGATAGAAACGAAACGGCCATCCCCATACCAATGACAATATCACATTCTTCAATCACATAGCATGATAACCAACGCAGTACATAAAATCCATCCCATCATAACCATCATCCCATAGTAGCCCCAACAAGCAAACACAAATCATAACCATCATCCACACACACACACACACACACACACCACATCCCCGTTGTAAATTCCCCAGCACTTTAACCATAGTTGACATTATGCACCGTCCCGCTCTCATCCACATGGATATTCAACCTGTATCCCGGCCCCGTGTCAGCCACGCCTTCTTCAACACACTGCCCAAAACCCCCAAGAACGAGAGAGAGAATCCACCTACCGATCAGGATTATGATCCATCGTCGTCATGTCCCCAGGCTTGACGATCCGATGGGTCTCCGGCAGGTCTTTCTTGGCGAATGACTACATGAGTCAGACGGTTAGCGTTACCGATTTCCCTTTCCCCCTGATTCAGGTTGGGTTGCGTGTGGCTCACGTTCACATCGCTCGATCCCTCGGTGACAGTCTTGCCCATTAGCTTGTGCGACCAGTCATCCTGGCTCGAGCCGCCGCTGGTGTTGTTGATGCCGGGGATGACGAGGGGCATGGTGGGAGGCGGAATCAGTTCGGTGGCTATGAGAATATGTCTAGTCAAGCGGAAGAGCGGAAGGTTCGTTATGTAGTAGTGAGGGGTTGATATCCCGAGTTTAGAACTCTTAAGTGGTTTGAAGGAGTAGAAAGGGAGAAGAGAGGAATTAGGCTGCGACCAAAAAGACCAAAAGTAAGATGTTTAAATATATCTAGTTTCGGGAGTATAGAACCCGTGAGTTGACTTGTTTGAGATGACATCATCGCTGAAATGACGGATGGAAGTGGCGTCACACTACAGTCCGGGGTTGGACACAGTATAACATGCATCTGCATGCTACTATGCCACTCCTTGGTGCTTCACGTGCTTATCCACAACCCCTTATCATGGTGGTTCGTGTCTGGTTTGGTCATGGCGCAGGAAGTACTAGTACTATGTAGGAAGACTTCATAGATCATCAATCGATTCACTTATTACTGGACTTTACCGTAGCTTCTACATGGATTTGTTAAGGATAATCTATAGTTACTTGGTTGTTGGCATGGCCCCACTGCCCATCACCACTTCCCCGCAATGCGTAATATGACAGGCGGGCAACGAAAGCCGCATCGCATTATTGCATCTCATGCACACTTCTCAAACACCGCTCGAGCCTCTTCCCACGTTCCTTCTCACGGACCAAAGTGGCCTTGACAAAGGAACGAATCGCGTCCCGTCCTATCTTCTCTCGCCATGAAGTCCAGCCCGCGAGTTCCCCGACAACGACATCCTTGTTCCACGTGATCTCGCGGGAGAGGCGCGCCACTTGCGCTTCGGATTCCTGGATCTTGCCTTCTAATTCACGAACGGACTTTTGTCGCGACTCTTCTAACCCGGGGAAGTTGAGGTTGAATTTCCGTGGGAGAGATGACGACAGCAGGGACGAGCGAGATCGGGAGAGATTTCGGTTCGTGGAAGCTAGATTGGAAATGAGCCCAATAGGGCGGGAGAGGGAGGCAAGAACAGCAGTGGTGGTGTTGTCAATGGAGGTAAAAGCGGCGACAAATTGGAGTAGCGGAGATGAGTCGGAGGATGAGGTTGAGAGACATAAAGCGTAGCGGATAAACGCCTCGACATGAGACCGAGGGAGTGCCTGCACCGGTTCTTTAAGACTAGAGATGGAGGTGGAGCAGAGAGCTAAAGCATCTGCCATATCAGACGCAGCATTTTGCAGAGCGTGGCCACGACGAATCAGACTGCGAGTGTTCACGTGAATGGCACGAACCATGTCTTGGGCATGCGAGATAAATTGCTCGGTTTCTCTCATACTTTCCGGGGTGACTGGTGCATAATCGTCCATGATTGACTCCGCAAGAACTTGGGCCTTCCGTTGTGATCTGTCGGCCATCATGTCCGGCTGCAGCTCCGGAACAAGAAAGAACTCCCAGAGCATTTCGTGGGTCGCGAAGGTCGGATGGGACAGTAGGGCCTTCAGAAACTTGTCCAGCTTTTCTTGCATATCGTGAAGCACGGAACGAGACGGCTTCGAATGAATCTGGAATGGGCTGCGGAAGTCTGACAATGATGGCATGTATGAAGCTGGATGCTCGGTCGAAAGGCATCGGGCGAGATTCTCAAAATCTGAGAAGGTGCGGCGACATGTCGTAACCGTGTACGTTGTGCCTGACGCAGGTCGAGAATCCTGGGAGTTTGCAGTCGGATTAGGCGCACCGGATTTCAGAACGAATCGAACAGTTGCATCTTCAACGAAGTAGGAGCGAACGACGGTCGTCACTCGGCCCGACTGCTCATCGTACACGGAAGGAGGCGTAGACAAAAGTATGAGATCATCAATGCGATTGCGCACCTCATCGTCCTTTGCCAACTCGACGGCGGTCAACCCGCGACTTTCTTTGAGGTGAACATCCACTCGAGCGTCTGCAAACAGGATTCGGACTTGGTCGATGCGTCCGTATTTACTCGCCATCATGAGTGGCGTGAATCTTTTATCATTTGTCGCATTGGGGTCACAGTCACACCCTTGTAAGATCCGGACTGTAATCTCGGGATCACTAACAATATGAAGTAACGTGTTGCCTTTCGAGTCGATATGTTCGTCAAGACGCAAGGGCTTGCCGTCTCCTTGGGCTTTCTGGGCCGCGTTCAGGGCTTCAATCACCATTGACTTATAATCGGGGTGGTCGTAGGAACGGCACAGTGCGAAGAGTGGTGTTTGTCCATGCTTGTCCCGTTGGCACCATGGGAGGAGCCCCTCGAGCCTATGCATCACTGACGGTGTGCTGAACAAGTAATGAGCAACCGTACGTCCATGCATATCGGACTTCTGCATGTACGATGCGATGGTGTGCTTATCAGTTACACTAAAAAGGTAATCCATCAGAATGTCCACAATGTCGGTGTGAGCAAGCTGAACTGCAGCACTCAGCAGTGTTGTGCCTTCCGTGTTCGAATCTTCGAGAATATCCTCCAAAGGGTAATACTCTTGCAGGCTAAGTAGGTATTTCAGAGCCTCCGGTTGGCGACTTTCGACCGCCATCATTGGAATTGAATCGCCAGAAGGATCCTGCGTCTTGGTTAGGGTCTCAATAGAGCTATCGCCTTCGATTGCGCTTGTGATGGACTCCAAGGTAGTTGTCCGGGATATGAGCGATATGGCCGATGACTCGGACAGGCTACGCACGTCCATTGACACTTTCTTGATGGGACGTCGCACTTCGATTGGAGGCGATATGTTCGCCCATGTCTGGAAGGGGAAGACGTGGGAGAGCGGAGGGGCTTCAGAGTCAGCACCGGGAGCTATCGTTCCATCATCTCCAAATGTGTTGGACACGCCATCACGTATTGGCAAAGGCAGATGGGAGTTAGGGCTCGAGTCCTCATCGTCTCCTGTCTTGAAGGCTACCACCCGTTCCTCAGGTTCACAAGGGATGTCATCTATTGACTCTTGATCCCCATTGGGCTCCAGGATTGCTTTCATGTCAACAACGCGCCCATGCTTGGTAGCATTCCATAAGCGTTTGTTCCTGACACTCGCTCTTCGAAGGCCGGCGGAATCCGTTACCATATAGGTAAGAACAGCCTCAAGCGTGCTCAGTGCATAGCCCATTTCCCCACTGTCAACATCATCAATATAGATGAAGTGTTGCATGTACATCAAGCGGGCCTGCAGATTCTTGATTTGAGATCGTATTACAACGACAAGCAACAACGAGACGAGAATATCTGCGTTGATGGTCACAGGCGCAAATTGCTTTTCTGACGAGTGCAAATCTGTTCTGTCATAGCTGCCAGGGTAGGACAGGATCTTAACCGTCTCAAGCAAGGTATTTAGCATGTCGTGAGGGCACTTGGCATCGAGCATTTTGCGGAATTCTTCAACTGCTCTGCCGAGCCTTTGCAATAACTCCCGCTTGCCCTCCCGTCCTCCTTCCACCGCAATACCCACTTGAGAGATGTCAATGTTTTCCATGTACCGGATTCGGGAATCTAGTTCGGCATCCTCCGGCAGTCGAAATTTGCAGAGTCGAGGGAAGAGTAGGTTTTCATGCACCTGCTCCGCCACATAACGTTCAATGAGCCGTTCGACTAATGGGCCAGTAAGATCGGTGGTGGCGCCGAGGAAAGACAGCTGTTGTTTGTCCACCAACCGAAACAGGTCAATGGCAGCAGTGACCGCTGTTTCGAGGCTGCGACGCATTAAGTCTTCGTCATCCTCGAAGTACTCCTCGGAATTGAATGGAAGTCCTTCCCTGCTGCGTGTGGAGCGGATAGAAGCAGCCTCATCGAAGGATGGTTCACGGTTCTGCTTGCGTTCGAATTCTTCGAACATTACAGGGGATCGCGATGGTGGTGGAGGTAGAGGTTTTCCGAGTTCTTTCCCAAATTCCTTGAACAGCCGTTCCAAGCCTGGTTGCATCTGTCTAGCGATCATCGGAAAGTTTGCCAGCAATTCTCCGAATGTTTTGATCTCCTTTTTCTGGGGCGAGGAGACTGGCTCGCCGGATTTAATTCCATTACCGACGGCATTGATTTTTGGTTGTGCCCCTGGCACCACAGCAGTAATGATCCTTCCGGGGTCAAATGAGCCGATCAATGGGCGGGAGATATAATAGATAAGCCATGGCTGGGAGTCATTGTTGTTGGGATAATATAACGCATCAGACACCAACTGAGCTTGGCTTAGGGACTTGAAACCTTGAGAGGCGGACAATTGTTTAGCGCAAACAGGACATTAAATCTGGAAGGGGTCTCCTTCTACCTTTATTGCTGTAGACAGAGTTCTCCTTGATAATCACAGTGCGACCATTTACCGTTGTCACTTGCTTGGCCTTGCCTCTGCTGTCTCGTATATTCGAGTCATCCTTCCCCCCACCAGTCCCCGTAGCGACTGGTATACGCAAGGTATGGCTCCCAAGGAATTCTTCCGAAACAACCAGATCCGAGTAGTAGAGGGAGGACTCGCGGTCGCGCGACCCGACGAGAGATTCTGTCACGGGCACGAGGAGGACCTATACGACGAAATGTGAGAACGACGAGCTGAGCATGTGAGATGCGGGCCAAGCTGTCCGGAACGGAAACATACATGATTCTCGATGGGTATACACTGGCCCGGAACAGTGCTTCGGAAGAAGGCGCGGAGGAAAGGATTTAAAGGGTGCATCCAAACGGTCTTGGACGACGGCCCGGCTCAAGGTCTCTGGCACTCATCAAGCCTTCTAGACCGTTCTCGTAGAGAGAGGGGGGGGAGGGGATCTCCGCTGCTTGATCGTCACAGATGAGCAGCTCCGGCGCATGCGCCCGCAGGTGACAACGGGGCCTTTGCCAACAACGATTATGCCGGGAATAACACACTGTAAGGGAGAAGACAGTGCTCAAACGGTGTCAGAGATGCACAGAAGAAGGAAACACAGCTGAATGACGATTGCAAGGCAGGAATGTGGTAAAGATTCAGCCAACAACAGCTTGCACGGAGGGTGGCAGCCCGGGGAGCTCTCGGCGCTAGACCCCTTTTGGGCATCGTCCACATTTACTACCTACAGATAAGTTGCAGTACCTAGAGTGTACACTCTACATACTGACTACTATGTGGCTTGTATAAAGTAGAAAGCAGTGCGACAAATAAGTCTACATAGGATTGGCTGTATTTACACGGTTCTTATTGGTGTAACTCATATAGAAAGATGTCCCAAGTCGCAGTAATAGGCTGACAATAGATAGTATACATTGGCGAATAAGGCGCAATAGGCGAAAAGAGAACATCGTGGGTAGCGCAAGGCCTCATCGTCTCCCGGTCGAGTTGTCAAGACGGTGATAATTTCAGTGCTGTGAGCCTGCAGCGGATCTCGTTGCAAGCGCTGAGAAGAGACGCTCTTCTCAATCCAAGAACTCCACCGGCATACAGACCTGGTGTATCACAGAATTGTACCCTTGCTCTTTCCCCGCCAGCTAATCCGTACCCTGATATTTTGCTTCGAATAAAAACATATAGCTCCAGACAGAACTCCTAAAGCGGCGATTCTCCTAACCCAGTCTCCGTACATGTCTGCTTCTCGTTCCACCAAATTTGACGCGGGTGGAATCCGATACGCGACAGATCGTGCCTCGGATGTGCTTCCCCTCGTTACCCAGCAAGACTTTGATGAAAGCATCCCGGCCAAGTCCGAAGTCGCGGAAAATGAGTGTCATGCGTTTGATTTCCACCATGTAGCCCCGTTCCTGCATCTGGGCAAAGAAGTGAGAGGTCAACTGGAATGCCGAGTCGAAACCAGCACGTCCACCTTTGCGGAAACCGAGATGGCCACAGCTGAGAGACAACATCGGGTTGCCATTGGGCCGAGTTAAGGTCAAGATCGTGTTGTGCTTATGGGCATAAACATGGAGATTGTAGGGGGGAGACCGGTCGACATAAGGTTGTCCGACCATTTCGGCTTCCAGGCTACCTTGCAACTTCTGGAAGCTGTAGGTTGTCTTCTCAGAAGACCGGGGACCTGTAGAACCGAAGAGTTCATCGAGCGCAGAGTGTTGGTTGTCGGAGTTAGCGACCTTGGGTTTTACACCCAGGATCTGCCTTTCCAAATCACGGGCCTCTCCAGAGGTGTTCGCCGGTTTCGCCGGAGTTGATGAGAATGACCTTATCGAACTGAGAGGAGAAAACCGAAGCTGAAGAGGTCTGCCGATCGACGGCAGCGCCCTCGTCAGGGCACTCACAAACGATGTGTTCATCTTGGTGTAACTTCTCGCGGAGGATGTTGTTGCTGCGCAAAGGCGCTTTGCTGATTGAAGGACAATTCCGGACTGACTTCTCGGTGAACGCGATAAGGTACACGAATAACTGTCAACCCGATGCAATGAACTGAAAGCAAGCGTTGACTTGATATGTGCTGTAGGCGCTGTACACACTGCCGAGCGGCGCGACACTGGGCCGGAACGAAAGGGCGGCGGAAGAGGGCCGAATTTTATCGATGCTTGGCGTTTTCGCATCTCGACTTTTTCCTTTCCCTTTAGAGCAACTGCCGACATCGCTTCTTCCTCTTCCCCAGGTCACTTCTACCCTTCCAACCTTTCAATCCCCAAACCCATTCGGGGCCTTTCTCTTCTCACAAACCTCTATCCTTCGGGACCTTGGGTTAATTATAGTCTTGGTGGTTTTCCTTCTGTATAGCATGATCTCCGCCACCAAAATGTCGGCCACCGCGCGGGCGGCCACTTTACGGACCTATGTCCCGAGCCTGAAGACTGCTTACAGCCAGCACTCGTTGGTGCAGACTTGCTCCTTTTCGACATCGCCAGCAGTCCGGAACATTCCATCTCTAAACCAACATCGCACAACACTCCCTCACCTCCTCTCGCCTTACGCCGCTCTGCCATTGACCAGGTCCTTCCATGTTGCCACCCCCCTCAGACAGCAACAACAGCAGCACCAGCAGAAGCAGCAGCAAGAAAAGGAGAAACAGTCAGAGGAATCGAGCGAGGGAAAGAGTGAAGATCAGAAGGAGGGCGAGAAGAAGGACGCCCCTCCTCCCCCTCCCCACGGCGACAAGACTCCCTGGCAAGTCTTCAGGGAGACTCTCCAAACTGAGTTCAAGGCATCAAAGGAGTGGAATGAGTCAACCAAGGCCCTCGCGTCCTCTGCTCACCAGTTCACCGAGAACGAGAACGTCAAGCGGGCTCGTGCCGCTTACGAAGCTGCCTCTGGGGCCGCGACTTCCAAGACTTCCACCGCTTTGAAGCATACCGGCAAGGCTATTGGCAAGAGCGCTTCCTGGACGTGGAACACGCCCGTGGTGAAGGGTATTAGAAAGGGTGTCAACGCCACTGGATCCGGCATCGAGAAGGTCACGAGACCTGTTCGCGAAACTGAGGCTTACAAGACCGCCGTTGGAGGCGTAAAGAATGCCATCGATGACGGTAGCAGCTCTCGCTATGGTGGTTGGATTGAGAAGGAGGAGCGCCGGAAGCAGAGGAAATTGCGCGAAGAGATGGAAGCCAAGTCTGGTCGTCGCAGCGAGCCGATGGTGGAAGATCCCAAGTGAGTCATTTCTCCTGTCACCCACTAAACAGCTGCATCTGACACCTATGTTTTTCCAGCGCGGGAACCAACGTTACACTCCACAAGGACGCTGCTTGGAAGGAGTCGTGGCGTGATTTTAAGGACTCGAACCCTATGATGCAGAAGTTATTTACTCTGAAAAACACCTACGACGAGTCGGAAAACCCTCTTATCACCACTGCGCGCAGCATTTCGGATCGTGTCGCCGGTTTCTTTGCCGAGAACGAGACGGCTCAGGTCGTCAAGAAATTCCGCGAGATGGACCCCAATTTCCAGATGGAGTCATTCTTGAGGGAGATGCGTGAATATATCCTGCCCGAGGTCCTCGACGCCTACGTCAAGGGTGATGTCGAAACCCTCAAGCTCTGGCTTTCCGAAGCCCAATTCAACGTCTATGCTGCACTTGCTCAGCAGTACACTAACCTCGGTCTCAAATCCGATGGTCGTATCCTCGATATCCGTGGAGTTGACGTCTCCCATGCCCGCATGTTGGACCCTGGTGACATTCCCGTCTTCGTTGTGACCTGCCGTACACAGGAGGTCCACGTTTACAAGAACGCGAAGTCTGGTGAACTCGCGGCCGGTATGGAAGACAAGGTTCAGCTGGTTACCTACGCTATCGGTCTCACTCGGATACCTGAGGATGTTAACAACCCGGAGACCCGTGGATGGAGATTGATCGAGCTGCAGAAGGCTGCTCGTGACTACATTTAAATCACCCTCAAACGGCTTCCTTGACTTAAACAGCCCTGCTCCTTCAACAATATCTCCGTTGTTCTGATCATCGGCCCATGAATTTCTTATTACTCTTCTCGAATGTTTTGATATCATATCCGACTGTACAATATTGACCTTTTAAATAGAGGCCAGGCGGAACTGGCGCTTCATGAACTGCAACTACCTGTGAAAGTAACTTGATTAATCACGCACAAATTTCCCCTTCCGTTGGCCAATTCGTTTCAGGAAATATGCTGGCGAGCTTGTTATCTCTGGATTCGGGGGTTGTCGTCTCAGAAAGACCTCAATCGGGCACAAGAGGCCCGGTTTATTTGCTTCCTTTCGGCGTTTCGGGGCGTCCTGTGTTGTGTTTGGCAAAATCCTCCTCCACTCATCTGATGATTCTTTTGGCATCTGCATTAGTACTTAGCTCAGTTTCTTTTATCCTCCCCCCGGTTTCAGCTGAAGGACCGCCTCTTCAGGATGAAGATCTTACAAAAGCTCTCGAGGCAAAATTCGGGGCTTGATGCCCTGACGACCTGGACCTACAGATCGAGGCTCATCGAAGATTTTGTGAATATAATGTGAAAAAATATATTACGCTTCTCAGTCAAAAAGTGTGCGTGTCGCGCATCAGTCTCTATTCTCCTTCTCGAGATCAGGAAGGTCCTCAAGCTTGTTACAAAAAAAAGGAAGCTAGATGCAGCCAAAGAGCTTAGTGAAGATAAAGGAAAATATCTTTTCGAAAGTGAAGGAAACAAAACAGTTGCACGGGCATCAGACAATGGTTTTAGTCATTACTGGCCTCCCCGTCCAGCACCGCCGCCCATCATGTTCCGGGCCCTAATAACGCAGCATTAGTGTCTATCCAATTTAAGCAATAATCGGAAAAGGACCTACATCTCGGCAATGCTTGGGTCACTCATCAAAGAAGACATGTCGGGCATGCCACCTCCGCGGCCAAAATTCTCAGCCATCTGTCTGAGCTGGGGGTTGCTCATGAGGTTGTTGAGCGCATCGGGGTTGCTCATCAAGTTCTGGGCCATGCTGGCGAACATGGGGTTGCTCATGATAGAGCTAAGATCGGGCATACCGCCACCACCGCCGCCGCCGCCGCCGCCGCCGCCGCCTCCGAGCATGCTAGCCAGGGAAGAGAGATCGGGCATACCGCCGGCACCGCGAGACGCGCCAGCGGCATCATCTACGGCGTCAGAGGGGGGCTCCGCACCGCGCTTCGACTCCTCGATCTTTCTCTTGGTGGTCTCCAGACCCCGCTTCATGGCCTCGCTGCCGCCGTTACCCTCGGCCTCGATGCCCTTCTCGTAGGCCTCGAGGGCACCGTGGTAGTCGGCCAGGTCGAAACGAGCCAGACCCAGACGGCTCCAGGCCTTGGAGTACTTGGGGTCGACGGCGGTGGCAAGCTCCGCGTCCTCGACCGCCTTCTCGTGTTGTCCGGCGGCGGAGTAGGCAGCGGCCCGGTTGGAGAGGTAGATGGGGTTCGAGGGGGCGATGGCCAGAGCCTGGGTGTACAAGTCGATCGCACCGCTGTAGTCCTTGCGCGCCATGGCAGCGTTTCCTTCCGACTTCAGCTTGTCGGATTCCGGGGTGGGAGCGCCGCTCTGGGGCTTCGCCTCCGTCGTAGCACCGCCGGCAGCGGGCTTGTTCCGCAGCTTCTCATAAACGCTGTAGATGCTGGCCAGAGACTGTCCACCAAGAGCATCCTTAACAGCCGTCTCGTCGGAGGGGTCAACCTTGAATGTATCCGCGATGCAGGACTGGGCGATCTCAATGGATTCGGCGTCATCAGCACCGAGAGTGCCATCCTTCACGCTGGCACCTAGGAAGTCGATGATAGCAAGCGCCAAGCGCTTTTTGGACTCGGTGGGAGCCTAGATGATAAGACACGTCAGAAACTAGTCTGGGGAGGAAGTATATGCCGGTTCAACACTAAAGGAGCCCACCTACCATGATGTGAGCAAATTGGGTATCAATGCGAAAGGGGGAGAGATTATCTTGCTGGCCAAAAGAGCCGGCGGGGAGGCGGAATTTAGGATGCGGGGTCCCTTAGTCTTGTTTGGTTTGTTTGCTCCGGGAGCTTCCCTACACGTGATAGCCCCCGTGCTCTCGACTGCCATCCAGCTCATATTAACTTCCGGTACTCCAATCCATCAAATCTACAGCGCAGTCGGGACAATTATTTGAACGGACATGGTCGGCAGATACGGGGGAATCTCTGTCTCGAGTCCGGCAATCTGATGTTCTAGCGTCAACCGAAGATGACTCGATGTGAAGCTGCTCTACTCCGTGACTCTCGCGCCTGCACCGAGCCATGTACTGGCCCTATGGAGTCCCCCGGGTCTATGCGATCAATGGCCCTGGGATACCGGTTCTCACATCTGACGATGACGAATCCCTGAACTACGACAGCCCTACGGCGCAGGAGGAGGCACTGAACACTGAAAATGTCCGTGACAAACCAGCAATTGCGGAGACGGCGTGGGCTGACGAGCCTCTTACCGGCCTTTGTGTCTCTCGGAGTGGTTATATGTTTGCGACAATGACCAAGTCATCGATCGCTCTCTGGCAAACAAGAGTAAGTGACCCTATCACTGATGTTGTTGGGTAAAGCGCGCATGCTGACGGCCGATATAGCCTACCGCCGTTGTTGCTGCCGTTGCTCGGTCCGCCTCGTCGCTAGAGAACTATGGTCCCAATGTGGCCCTCTTGATCCATCCCGACTCGAATATACTTGTTGCTCAGACGCTGAATGGATATCTCCTTACCTATACCATCGCTGTCAGTCCTAATACCCGTGTATATCAACAATTCTTTGATCAATCTACATCGACTTCGACCCGCCGCCAGACGCTCGCTCGGTTAGCCGCGGAGGAAGAGGCTACTGGCGTTCGAGATGTCAACATTCGATTTCGAATGGCTATTAAGATAGAGTCGGGGATCGCCAGGGCTCTCGCACTTGATAATGAGCTCGTTGTCGCCACTGTCAAACCTGCGGCCATCCAATGCATTCGTTGGAACCCGGATGCGGACGGCTCGCAAACCAAGTCAGAACTCCTTAGTCGGATTCTTGGGGTTTCAAAGCGCACATCAATCACAGACATGGTGTATGATCGTGCTATCAACCTGCTGATATGGGTCACCAACGAGGGACAGGCGTATGCCGTGCAGCGAGCCGCAGAAGACTCGGATGACTCCAAGAAGTTGTTCCAAGGCCATTGCTTCCATGATCCCAAGGATGATGGCGAGAGAGCTGTCAAGGTTGTAGTCAATGCACGATTTTCTCTGCTCACAGTGAGCTGCGCCAACGGAGAGATCCTAGTTTACACAGCCAAGGACTACCTGGGCAATGTTCCTCTATCGCACAAACTACAGCTCCCGGCTTCGCCAAACACGACGGGCAGTGTCACATTTATGAGCTATTCGCCAGACGGGTACTGCCTGTTTGCCGGGTATGAGCATGGTTGGACAACATGGAGCGTTTTTGGAAAGTCGGGAGAGAGTAGCTTTGCGGCGGACCGATCTCTTGCTAATTCAAACGGCGAAAACTGGGTGACTGGAACCTCTCATGGTTGTTGGATCGGTGGAGGGTCAGAAGTCATACTTACAGGCCAGAACGACCGTCGCTTGTGGATTCTGGAGACAGCACGGAGCGCTTTGACAGGCTGTTATTCGTCTGCGAACCTGGCTAGAGGACTGCTGCAAACTGGAACCGAGATTATCCTCTACCGTGGTCATGATCTACCAGATCTTATAACCATCTCGGGGAAGGACTCGCTGTGGCATCATGCTCAATATCCTCCGAGTTACCTTCACTCACAGTGGCCGATTCGCTCTAGTGTTGTCTCACAGGATGGAAGATATGTTGCTATTGCGGGCAGACGAGGGCTGGCACACTACAGTGTCAACAGCGGCCGTTGGAAAGTGTTTGAGGATCCCAAAATTGAGAATTCCTTCGCGGTACGCGGGGGCATGTGCTGGTACGGACACATTCTGATCGCCGCCATTGACAATGATGGATCTTACGAGGTAAGTGTGCCATCGATGTCTGACCGTGGCTATACTGATCGACTGCGAAGTTGCGGTTGTACTCGCGGGAAATGCCTCTCAATAATCAATCTATCTTACATATCGAATACCTACCGTCGCCGGTAGTCTTTGTCGGAGCATCCGGCGAGGACTCGCTGCTCGTTTATACGTACGACAATATTCTTTATCACTATATCATCAATTCAGCTCACTCCCGAATAACGTTGGTGCCCGTTGGGCAGATTGCATTTCATGGGATTGTGCGCGCGCCAACTAGGGTCCGGGCAATCAGTTGGATTTTGCCCGAAGACCAAATGCGTAAGTGTGTCAGCACCCTGCGACAGCCAGATCTAATAAAAAGCAAACAGGGAACGGCGACCCTTCCCAAGATGTCAAAGTGGCATCTGTGCTTCTTTTGGTTGATGGCAATTTGGTCCTGCTGCAGCCATCGTTCTCGGAGACTGGCGATTTGAAATACGACATGCGGGTGGTATCCCACGACGTCGAATACTATATCCTGATGCGAGATCAGTTATCATTCAACTTTGCGCCTGTCGACGAGTCGCTTCCGGCTAGTCCATCGGCTGAAATGGCCTTGAATATGTACCGCGGTGACTTTTCGTTGAGGGACTCGCTATGGACATTTTGTGGGAAAGAGCTCCTTGCCTGGGGTGATGTGCAGGATGTTCTACAGCGGGAAGACGTAGCCAGACCGCTGGAGGTCCCGCTGGACTTTTATCCGCTGTCTGTTCTCCTGAACAAGGGCATCGTGCTGGGTGTGGAAGCCGAGATGACCCAGCGACGCGATGTCACCTTCTCCGTGCTGAAGTTCGCCATTCGGGTGAGTATCTACCGCAAAGATCGACGCCGGTGCAGCACTAACTCCGATAGACACACCTCTTCCTGCCGTACTTCCTTCAGCACAGTCTGACACAGCGCGACATGCCTGCAGCGCTGTCGTTGTGCCAGCACTTCTCCCACCTATCCTACTTTCCGCACGCTCTCGAGATCCTCCTCCACCACGTCTTGGACGATGAGGTCGACAACCAGAGCCGAGACAGCAAGGTCGACGACCCCTCCCTGAAACACGAACCCCTGCTGCCGATCGTCATCTCCTTCTTACAAGCATCGTTACCCACCAAGGTGTACCTGGACGTGGTGGTCCAATGCACGCGCAAGACGGAGTTGCGCTCCTGGCGCACCCTGTTCACCTACCTCCCGTCGCCGAAAGACCTCTTCGAGCAGGCGCTCAAGCTCGGGTCCCTCAAGACCGCCGTGGGCTATCTGCTGGTGCTGCAAGCCTTCGAGGATGATGCGGACGACCACGACGCCCCGATCGAGGACTACGTGGTCCGGCTGATGTACCTGGCGTCGAAGAAGAGCGACTGGGACCTGTGCGCGGAGCTGGCGAGATTCCTGATCGCCCTCGACGGAACGGGGGAGATGCTACAGCGGGCGGTGACCCGCGCGGGGCTGAGGGATGGCGGGCTCCAGCTGCCCGGGGCGGGGATGGGGATGAACGGGTCCAGCACGAGTGTGAAGGGGCTGGGACTGGCGATGCGGACGCCGTCGTGGTCCTCGCTGTCGCCGACGTCGCCGCTGTCCCCGCGGCCTCCCGAACTGGAATGATCTGTGTCTCGTCCGGTGTAGACTTCAAGTAGAGGGTCCGAGAAAAATATGTATATACGAATTTTTCCTTCTCTCAATCCCATGAACATAAACCTCCGAAACGAAAAAAAAAAAAAAGGTAAATCCAATGCATCCATTAAGCTGCAAAGCAATGGTATCAAGAATAAAGCGTGCACTCATCTTCAGCGTAAAGGAACCCAAGCCAGCCCCCCCCCCAGCCCTACAACACACAAAAGAACCCATCCGGACCCTCATCACCATCATCTAAAGCACCTTCCCTAGCCCCTCGCACCCCATCTCCCCCTCCCCCGTCCAATAAAAAGAAAGCGATCTAATCCAAAGTCATCCTCCAAAGCCCATCGCCCAAATAATGGCCCTCATCCAAAACGACCCCCTTCCCTTTCGCCTTAATCTCCTCGGTGCCGACCTTCAACACGCCCACCAGACAAACCGTCTCCTTCCCCTCGGCCTTGACCGCCACGACCTGGCCCGCCTCCACCGCATGCTCCGTGTCGGGCAACCGGCCGCCCGGGGACGTTAGCCCGGGGGCCATGAGCGCGGCGCCCGAGAGCACGAAGCGGATGGCGCCGCGGTCGATCTGCACGGTGGGCAGGGCGTCCGGGTAGGCGTGCAGGAGTTTCAGGTGCGGGATGGGCGGGCCGTCGAGCGGTTGGAAGAAGAGCGGGGTGGAGTCGATGCTGTAGAGGGTCGCTCTTTCGGGGCTGTTTTTTTGCAGATGCAGTGGTTTTTTCCAAATTAGCTATCGGATTGAGGTGGGGATACACCCTGCCCCCTAAGGGGGTTATGCAGCTGGGTGATGGCTGGGGGACTGGGGGCGACCTACAGCTTCACGGCATCCAGCTGGGCTTTCTTGGGTAGGACCTCCTCGATGTACGGCTCGAAGCCCGGGTAGGTCTCCAGGAAGCGTTGGCGCAGGGCGCGCTGCACGCTGGATTTGACTTTCGAGCGGTTGCTCGGGGGGATTCTGTCACCGTCGGAAATCGATTAGCTTGGGTTTTTCTTCATTGAAGGGAGAGATTCAAAGGTTGCTGTGGGGAGGGCAATCAGCAGTCTAAGGGAATGGACTGAGCAAAATTGTAGGGTAGATAGTTTGGGAAAAGGCAGTGTAGGCGGGGTAAGAATTGATTGCCCTTGAGGGGCAGGTTTCTTTGGTCTCTCGTGACGGCATGCGGGAAGTTGATGTTGAGAATGGGATCATGCGAGATTTATCTCTCTCCGGTAACAGCCAAAAACGCACTCTTTCTTGAACATGGTGTCTGATGCTGGGGATATCGGAATCGGACCCGGTTGTTGGGAGCGCGGCGGATGGCATTATCTGCAGATGGCCGTTGCGGGGAAGGCGACGGGTCACGTGCTTCATACTCTTGCCCATCCTCTGGTCCCAACTCGATAAGCTCACGATGGACATCATTCAACTATGACTACTGCTGGAAGCGTCTTCCAGGTAGCTTCCTATTGTTCCCGTTGATCTACATCTACCCGGGCAAGTTAAGTTACGTCTGATGGTGCTTGGGTCCACGAATGAGCAACGTTTTCCTTCCAGCTCGTCGTACCCCATCATCTTGGTTGATTGGACCTTCGATTGAATCAGTATGCCAAGAGCCAATTCAGAGGTCATTTACAAAAGGAGAGGACGAGAAACAGCGTTGGCTGTACCGAAGACATCACGACAACCGTAACAAGGCAAAAATGCAGAAGGCAATTAGCTGCACTGTATAGGAGCACACCGTAAGTAGCCCTTACGAGTACTACTAGCCAGTGACGCAACCAGCAACCAGTACAAAACCGCGTCCAGAACCGTGTAGGACCTCAGTGAATAGTTTCTGGCGCAGGTGCGCTTCAGGAACCATGAAAAACAACATTTGATGCAATCTTAATGGCAGAGATTGACAGCAAGTACCCTTACTACACACAATTTAGACCCAATCTACTTAAGTCTCAGAGATTGATAATTCATAACAATTTCATTTTTAATTGCTACAAGTCATTTTCATCCGACGACTACATCTAGCTGCGAGCAGCACCGGCCTTGATCAGCAGGATGTCACCGTCTTCGACGACGTAATCCTTGCCCTTGGTCATGATCTTACCGGCGGCCTTGACGGCGCCTTCGTCGCCGTACTCACGCAGGACAGCGTAGTTGTACACAATGGCCTGGATGAAGGTCTTCTCGAAGTCGGTGTGGATGACACCGGCCGCGGCAGGGGCCTTGATACCCTTGCGGATGGTCCATTGACGGACCTCGTCGGTACCAGTGGTGAAGAAACTGGCCAAGTTCAACGACTGACGCATGGTGGTGATCACCTTGGGCAGGGCAGACTTGGTGTTCAGGCTCTTGCACTCCTCGAGGGCGGCAGCCTCATCCTCGAACCGGGTCAGGCGCTCCTCGAAGGAGACGGAGATGGGGATCAGAGGGTCACCAGTGGAGTTGGTCTTGATCCAGTCGAACACCTTAGGCAGGTACTTGTTCTTCTGGCGGATGTAGTCCTTCTCGCTCAGGTTGACCAGGTAGACAACGGGCTTAGCCGTCAACAACATGAGAGGGTTGATAGTCTCGACCTATAGAGCGACCCTGATTAGCACTCTATTTCCATCACACGATATTCGGTATGAACAGCGATAGAAAGTAAAACATCAGATAGGATTTTATCTCAAGGTGGCCTCTGCGTTGTAAATAAAATGAGGCCACTCGACGAGCTGGGTTATATTCGAGCGATGCTCTTATTCATCATGATAGTGGGGTATATGGGCTGGGAAAATAAAAAGCAAGGTGAGAAGTATAAACGTACCTCCTTAGGGCCCCAATCACCCTTGCGGACATCCTTGCCCTCACGCAGCCACTCGAGGACCTTGGCAACAGTGCCCTCTTCCTCGCGCAGCTTCTTCATCTCGAGACTCTGACCACCACGCTTGGTCTGCTTCTGGAGAGCCTCGAGCGCCTTCTCGACGAACTCGATATCCTTGACACGCAGCTCCTCGCTGATGATGTTCAAGTCACGAACGGGGTCGACGTCACCCTCAACGTGGATGATCTCAGCATCGTCGAAGCAACGCACGACCTGGAAGATGGCATCGACGGCACGGATGTGGGACAAGAAGGAGTTACCGAGACCAGCACCAGTCGAGGCACCGCGGGTCAGACCGGCGATATCATACACGGTCAAGTTGGCAGGCACCACGGACTTGGGCTTGTAGTGCTCGCACAGCCAGTCGAAGCGGTCATCGGGAACAATGACACGAGCTTCCTCGGGGTCGATGGTGGCATAGGGGAAGTTGGCGGGGTTACCCAGCGTAGACTTCGTGATAGCCTGGAAGAGAGTGGACTTGCCGACGTTGGCGAGACCAACCTAGAAAGATGTTAAACCATCTTGTGTTCCTTAATTCCGACCAAGGATTGTGTGGGAATTATGGTGTTGAGGGGGGAAGAAGAAGAGAAGAAATTTTTTTCATGCAGGGGAAGCGAGGTTAAATAGGGTAAGAAAGGGGAACGGATAAAAAATTCGGAAGGCTGGAGAGGGGCAGCAGCCAGCAGAACGGGCAGGAAAAAAAAAAAAGAAAAGAGGGAAAATTAGTCGGTGGGGTCAATGCTCACATACGATACCACTCTTCAGGTTATTTCCTGGGCGGCCCAGAAGGACCTTCTCTTGCACAACAGCCTTCTTGGGGGGCATTTTGGAGGATTTCTTCTTCTTGCTGGAATAGGACCGGCGGGAGAGGAAGGAGAGCGGGGAGGAGAAAGAGGGGGAGAAAGCAGAGGTAGAAGAGGAGGAAGAGAAGGAGGGGTTCAGGTTCAGGTTAAGGAAGAGAGATTGAGATTGGATCAGGCGCGAGGCCAAAGCAGGACCAGCTGCGGAGCGATGGAAGCGGAATGAAAGTAACAGCAGGTGGCCCGGCTGTGAAGGAGACGTGATGACGGTGCCCACCAGCAATGCTGTGGGCAGAAATTGCAAAGGGATGAAGGGATGGGTTTAGGATTGGGAAAAGAGGAAAAGATATTTTACAGGCCCAATGGGTTCCCAATTCAATTGAAGCTGAACAAAGCAACGCAGCAACAAACTGGAACGGAACAAAGTATGACGCTTGCTTCTCTTTCTCATGTTCTGTGCGGTGGAGAAGAGACGCCCAGTTCCTTTTTCTTCGCGGCTCACCGCCCACATGACTCGCCAGCCCTGTAAGCCCGGTCCCGGTCTCATCACGTAATGTCTTTCCCATGGACTCTACAAAAGCACTGCAGTAGCAGCAGCGGTACCGGATTGCAATAAACACCTCTGACCATGGTCAAGATTACCGTCAATATAGTATACATAATACCGCAAGCGCGATCCGCATGATGCTTAAAGGAAATGAAAGAAAAAGAATCCCTCCCTCAAACCCATGCATGCATACATCCATCCGTCCCCCCGATCGGTATGGAGTGAGTTTGACTACGCAACGCCAGCAGAACGCCAAACGCAGATCATCGGTATGAAGCGGCAGCAAGGAAAGAAGTCTACGTCTCCATGGCATCGCCCACCTCCGATTCGTTGTCCACCATCCCCAGCAGTTTCGCATATGGTACCGTCACCCGCTGGAGATCCCGATGTTTGCCTAGAAAGTGACCTGGTTAGCAAGGAGCAAGGAACGTAGTACAAACAGAGGCCAGAACCTACCGAGTGACAATATCACTTCCTTGAGCAACACTTCCCGTGGCCAGCCACAGAGCGTCTCGGAGCTCTCACGCCAGTTCCGATCCTCTTGCTCATTGTCCTGCAGACGACGAACGCTACCCGTGTCATCCTCCTCAAACAGACCACCGATCAGACCTTTGAGGAGCTCTTCCACCTTCATCTTCAGTCCTTCCGCACCTAGACGCTTGGCATACATCGAAAGGTAGAGACGGAATTCATCCTTGGCTCCTAGAGAGAGCGCGGCAGCCACGCGATTCTCCAAGTGAGCGATGGATACGCTGGACTCAAAGCCTTCGTAGCCCTCGCGTGAAAGCAGGACCTTAATCAGCCGCTGCAGGAAGTACGCGCGACCCCGCAGCAATGTCTCGTTGGTTGTATTGCGTTCCAAGAACGGTACAATACCGGCGGACACGGCTGCCTTGGCTGCCTTATCCTGCTGCGCATCGGCCGCTTGAAGGTTGCCCACAGGTGCATCCGTGGTGTTCCAATACTGGCTGCCGACGGCCCACCAGCTCTCGGAAATCCGCTGCCATGTGTACATGGACGGGGAATAGGAGTACCCCTCGCCATTTGTCAATGCGACCACTATCCGGCCTTCGGAGTTGATTCGAGCATTGGTGATTGCGGGAGCAGTCGTAGGCTGAGTACCCAATGTGTGAATGGCCGCATCGAGCACCGGTTGCAGGGAGATGGGCGGATGGGGCGAGGAGAGGTGCTTCACATTCCAGACGTAGCACATACCCACAGCTGTGATGCAGAGAATCCATGGACCATTGCACTCGAGAATCACTGGTTGTGCTTCCAGCACCAGCGCACTGACTAAGCGACGCCCAGCTGGAGTCCAGATGTACACTGACCCCTCCTCACAGGCTGCAGCCCACATGCTCTGATTACCTGTCACCAGCAAAACAGGGCGCGGGAGGTAATCCTGCCACAAGGGCTGTTCGCCACGGAACAAGGTGAGGCGAACGGGTTCTCGGTCAACGACCCGTCCAGTCAAGCTTGCCGGGGACGGGTTACGGGCTTCGAAGATAACATCAACTCGCGATTTGCTAAACTCGCTGGATGTGCCCGGAGGCTCTGTGGGTTTGCCTGTAGGGTCGATCGCCCGTAGGATGTGACTTCGAATTTTGGGAACAGCCAGCCGGAGCTGGCTAATGGCCATGCAAGGATTCGTGACTGCAGGCCGTATATACTCTGGCGTTTGTTGCTGGCCTTCTGGTGCGGGCTGGGACTGCGCAGGTAGCAAGCCGTCAGCCGTGTGGGCAAGAATCGGGGTCGCCCCGTTCTGGCTCGCCAAAGCCACACGCTTCTCGACATGCCCATCATCGTCACCCTCAAGTTGAGCGAGCTTGCGCTTGTTTCCAAGAATCATCGCTGGGAGCCCGCCCTTGGGTAGCCCGTCGAAAGGCTTCGAGAGATCAATAATCGATTGCGGGGTATCAGCCTTGACTTGACTGCTGACTGACGCCATTAGTCGAGACTGGGGGAGTGATGACTCGGCAGCGCCAGCTCCAGACACTAAAAGAGGAGCTATCCGCTTTCTTCCGTCCTTCGTATATGTGGGACGCTGCTTCAACCTCTCGAGTTTTGCCTGGTAAGGGTCAGGCTTCTCCTGCTCCGGTGCCGTCGTTGTCGTTGCTGTACCATTGGGCTGGGCCTTTTGGGCATCTGATGCGGGTGATGGAGCAGAAGTCGTAGTGACGCCATTCGACTGTGCTGGCGCTGGTTTACCATTGGCCGTGGCCTCGGTTGTTGTGTGGTCGTCGCCCATCAGAGCCCCCATGCGACCTTCGACGCCTTTGATTTCTCCAGCCTTGCTCTTCTCCTCCAGTAGTAGACCATCCGTAGTCTCTGCAATCCCCGCGCCTCGACGATTAGTGCCGAACTTTGTAAGCGACTTCTCGTTCTCTTCCATTTCCATTGCATATCCGAGATCGCCGTCTTCAAACCGAACCATAAGAATCGTACCGTCGAGCGCGGTTGCGTAAAGACACTTTCCGTCCGGACTCCAGGCCAAATCAGATATCGACTTGGCAGCTAGCTCTTGCGCAACCACAATCGGTCTGGGATTGCTAGTGATCCAGATACTAAGGGACTTATCCCCTCCTGCGCAAGCAATGACGGTAACGGCGTTGTGCACCGCATGACCTTGACTATCCACGGCTTGTTTGTTGATTGGCTCCGGAGAGTACAGTCGCGGGGAGAAAGCGCACACTTCAACAGGAGCTTCGTGCCCGATGAGGTTGATGTCACCGTCCCATGTCCCCCGATTGATGATCGCGACAGAGCTCACGGGGCCGTTGACCGCATTCGCGGCCGCGATATGCATACCATCTGGCGACCACGAGCAACGACGGAAATATGCGGTGAGGGGCGAATTCGAGAAGGGTGCAGTAATGGTCTGTTCGAGAATGAAGTTGTTCATCTGGTCATGGGCGGTGGAATTAGGAGCAGGCGACGTGAATCGGAAAATGCGAACCGTGCGATCGTCGCTCGCCGTAGCGAAGTATTTGTTTGCAGGGTCGAACGTGATCCCCTTGACATGGCTCTGGTGGATAGACAGGGTCTTGAGCTTCTCGAATGTGTGTCCCGACCATACCACGACCTTGGAATCCAAGCCAACGGAGACCAGAATGGAGGAATCGTACGACCAGCCTAGATCTTGGACGTCGTTGTCGTGGCCGATCAGTCTTCGAATGGTGCGCCAATTCTCCACAGGGGGCGCCTCGTTTGATCCTAGAAATCGTAGCAGGAGCCCATTAGCCAGCGTTCGTGCAGCCGAACCACTTTATCGCGGACTTCCTGGTACCCACCGAACGTTGACGCATGAGATGGAGGGTTGGCATCTAGCGTGTATATGCACACAATCTTGTCATCTGCCCCTGACGCCAAGTATTTCCCGTTGGGCGAAAATCGGACCGTGTGAATCGTGCCGGAGTGATTGCTCATGGAAGCCAGCTGCTTCGGCTTACTGGCATACTGCGGGTCCTCTGTATTGCAAATCGCTTCCGTAGACCAGATCCGAACATAACCATCTGAGAATCGCAAAAGGAAACATTTGCAGTTAGCGCTCAACCCATCAAACCACGAGTGCACCTATGGCTGGGGGGAGGATTTGCCCATCACTGACCTCCAGCCGCTGTGACCAAGCGAGATCCATCGGGAGATACATCGCAACTATATACTTCAAAATCCTTTCTCTCGCCTGTAAAGAATATCCAAGAAGGAAGACGGTTAGCTTAAGTTGATTCTAGAGACACCGACCGCGCCAGCACATATGAAGGAGAATGAGTCTGCCCAGCAAATTCGTTCGACATCAAAAGGTCACAAAACATACCCCCATGTGTCAGCCAGACTGGCTTTATAATATGCATCGCAGTAGCTTGTCGCTTTGCTGCTCTAGTCGCTGGGAAGGGAAAGAAAAGAAAGGCAGCTCGCCTAACGTTGGTTGTTGGCGAGGTCCGTGTTCGGAGCTGATCACAGGCAAGTAGACGTGGATGGAGGACTGCTTAGATGGAGCATCGCAAAGCAATCTTGTACCCGGCTCATTGGACCATGGGCCTGTCAGTCCGCAGCTGTGAGTAAACGAGTATGAGTTGGAGGTTGTGGTGATAACCACTTGGTCTGGTCGTCGTTGGGAGAGTAGGAGAGGAGGAGGATTTGGCGGAGTGAACGCGGACCTTGGTCCGATGAAAGCGCGCTCGTTGCTACTCAAAAGTCGCGATCTCCAGAATGGGCGGCGCGGGAGGCGGTGGCCCGAGCTCCTTCCTGCCCATATCTGAAACGGTCTGGATTGTAGCAGATGCCAGAAAGCGCAACTTGTTAAGTCGAAACATCTACCTACGAAAGACACACAATAGTTTGAAGCCATGAATCTGCTTTTTATCTACTGTACATAAAGCCTAGAGAAGAAGAGATCTCTCTCTGACTAAACAGGTGAACTGCAGCTCGTACAACGTTGCTCATGCGAAATAAGATGGCTGACAAGGAATCCAATGGAACAGCCAGAGCAAGTGGCTAAGGACAAG